CCTTTTCCTAGGTGCAAAAATATAAACGACGTCAAGTGTTGCGCCGCCGCGCCGGAGAATGGGGCCTCGGCCAGAACACCTGCGCCTCCGCCGCCTCCTCGACGAGTCCCTTCGTTCCTTTTCGGTAAAAGTATCCGAACTACTTTTTCGCTCTCTTCTACCTCGCCATTCACTCCTTATTAGTGTTTCCTTTTGTTCTCATCTTTCATTTTGTTCTCCGTCGTGTTCTAAACATTGATTTTTCTTTTTTCTTTTTCAGGATATTACCTCCATTAATCTAACCGAAGAACTCGAGAAGGACCTTCTCATCGCTCTCTCTCAGGTGCTATTCAATTTCTGTTTATCATCGTTGCTCTGGATTTTTGCTCTTTGATCTTTTCGTGTTTTTCTGTTTCCATTTTGCTAGTGAATATTGAATCTGATTCTCTTTTTCCACTTTTAGGTCCTTAGACGAATTAAACAGTGGACTTGTGATTTTGATTCTGATGAGGTTAGTACCATCTGTCAATCACCGAAGACTCCTTTTTTTTTTCTTTTTTTTTTTCTATTTTCTGCTAAATATTTCAAATTTTCCCAGTATGAGTAAAAAAATGTTGTCAGCAGGAGTCACTGACCGAGCCCGTTGATGATACAGACTGTTCTGTTTCCTTAAATTCGCATACGGACAGTTTTCATAGTTTGAATAAGTTCGTTGGTGACTTGGTAAGAATTTCTTATCTTGCTTAGTGTTGAATGATAGCTCTGCAAAAATTACTTGGATATTTATTCAGTGTTAATAGCCTTTCGGTTTGGTGGTTAATGGATATGCACTCACATTCGAACCCTTAGCTTGAACATCTTCCCTCATACAACATATTTTAATTCTTTTGCAGACAGTATTGCTTAATGCTGAAAGTCGATATGCTCAGCTCTTGGTCGAAAATATACTTGTAGCAATTTCCGAGTTTCTCCTTGCATCGGTATTTTTCAACGTGATATGTATTATCCCTTGCATTCGTGACATTCCATAGTTCTTTTCACTAATTATAACCTTTTCATTTGCAGGATAGTTGTTGGGATGATTTCATGCAGTCATTATGTCTTTGCTTAGAAGGGGAAATTTCAAAGTCTTTGTTGGATACAAAAAGTGCTAGTTGGCCCGTTATGGCTTCCATATTTCGTGTTTTACGTAATATATTAAAGTTCATTAAGCAAGATTGTGACAACAAATTAGTTGAAGCACACTTAGTTTCCATCATCTCATTACTTCTAAATTTACCTTGGAATGTATTGAGAGAGGCCTATTTTGAACACAAATTCGAGACTCTTGAGGGGTCATCTAGAGATGCTTCAGTACTACAAAAGGAGGTTGTTAAGTCGAAAGAAATTACCATCTTTTTCGGCAATCTCATTCAGTTTCTCTGTTCTTTGGTGTCCCACATCAGTTCTTTAGATGATGGAGTTGGTTTTCCAACAGTTATGTGCAGAACTATTGATCTCGTTCCAAAGCTCACGATGTGGTGCAATACCGAGCTTCAAAATTCTCTTCATGTCCGCATCTCTCATTATTTCAGACATAAAGTGTTGGTAAGTTTTTTTATTTTATTTTATTTTTTTTGAAAAAAATTATGGAACACTATAGGCTGATGCCGTTTTACCATAATTGAAGTCGCATTTAGTTGCATGCAAGTTTCTTTGAATATCATTTCTCTCTTTCTCTCTCTCTCTCTTTCTCTTTCCATTCGTTTTGTAGTTTGTCATATCTCTTGATGAGATCTATTACTAATGCACAGATATTAATGGTCAAGCTTAGCTCTAATACTCTTATCGAGCAAACTGTACATGTGAAATGGATAGATCTTTTATCAAACCACTTTCAAGATCTACTGTTGCAACCGATATCTAGGGGCGAATCTGTCCAAGTTGATTTTCTAGAAGGCTCGCCATTCTGTACAAGCATTGTCGATAATGACAGTCAAAATGTGCCGAGTTGCCATTTGCAGAGGTTGACCGTTTTTCTTTTCTTGAAGCGTTCTCTAAGTCAAAATGTGGATTCGGAATGTTGCACTGAAAATATGGGTTTAGCTAAGCTTTACGAGTGGCTCCGAACTCAAATCCCCCATGATATTCTAGTGAATGATGAGCTGTATTTCGATCGATGTGTGAGATTTACTTTGTCCTTCCTTCAGCTATTTATGCATGAGGTTTGTTCTCAATCACTTCCTCCGGCTTGGTATATTATCGTATTATATGAGGGATTATTAATCAAATTCTGAAAAAATTATATATAAAGTTACTCGATGATTTTTTTAATTTTATTTTTAAATTATCAGCTCGTTTTTTGGGCATTTTCCTCTATAGCCACTTGCACTCATTTGTAACCATTTTTTTTCTTTAACTTTTTGTTTAGATACTCATCCACAAATTCTTTCTGAATTGTAGGACGATATCTTGTTTCAAATGCTCTTGCAACTGTTTCGTGTACCATTTTGTCCAGAGCGTCGGTAAATGTCACTGAAAGTCTCTTGAGTGCTATCCTTCGAAAGTGTTTAACAATATTCTGTTTCTAGTTTAACACCGAACCTATTTCTGCAGAGTTACGATTAAAGACGATTCTTTAGCTGACGTGAAGAATCACTCGTTTTTTCTTGTTTCTGACGTGTTTAATCCCATACATATCTTTCATCTATTCCTTGCTCAGGTAATTAATATTTAATATCTCTACCAAGTAGTTTCATTATGTTACAGCTCTAGTAAGGCTTCTACATTTTTTATTTATTTATTTATTTATTTTTTTGTAACTTTCCTTCAGATACACTATGATCATCAAGTTTTTCTGGACTATCTTATCTCGAAAGACACTGGATCCAGCTGTGCAGAGTACCTTTTGAGGTTATTAGTACATGCAAATTCCACTGTCTTGCAACTAAATTTCCTGTTTTTTTTTTTTTTACTTAAACATGATTGCGTGCTAGGTCACTAAGGGTCCTCTGCAATTCATGGAGTTCATTTGTTGAATTTCCGGGTTTGGAAGAAAATTTAGGTCGGTTAAGTCGAAAGAGGCAAAGAGTTTTGGTAGACTCTACGCATGGCACAAAGGACTGTACGAATAACACACTGCCGTTTGAGGCTGCAAGGGATTGTTTGGTTTCTCTGAAGAAATCCATCAACAATCTTAACCAAAAGAATTTATTTCCATACAATCCTCAAGCGCTTCTAAGGCGGTGAGTCACTATCCATTGCTTTGATTATTAAATTTTTGTTTAAGACAAATTCTTGCGTGAGGTAGCCAAATGGTTCGACTTTTGAACGAAAATAGATACACATTTCGAGAAATGTTAATACTTTTTGTTTACGTTGTTTTTTCAAAGTATGTCGTTTTTGCATGAAAGTGTACATATTTGTCACCTGAGGAGTTTTNAGTTTGGTGAGATTTGAGGAGCTCTGCATATAGTAATAAGTTTTAGAAACTCCTATTTGATCCATGGGTCAATTCTCAATAGGGATGGAGACTTCTTGATTCAACTTATACATCCTCGACTTACGGCTTCAAGGTTATTCAGTTCTTCTACATTTTCCCTCAATTTACTAGCTCGTCAAACATTTGATTCTTGAATTTTTTTTTTTACTTAGAATTAAAACATGAGCTTATTTATTTGTTTATGAAATCATCCAATGTCTAACATCCATTATCTGGAGCTGTGTCGATTATATATCACACAAACTTTATGGGAAAAGCATAAAAAATTATAACATATTGTGGGATCATTAAGAAACTCCTTAATTATGCATAACATTCTGCAATTTCAAGCAGACATTGGCAGAGTTTGTGGGGTTGCGAAAGCATGGCCATGTGATCAGCAGTCTCGATTTCCATTACTTTGTCGACTCCAATTGTTTCGATCTGCCAGCGTTGGAAATTTACGGGAATAGCCTTGTCTTGTCCACAAACTATGAATACCCTCTTCACGGATCCATACCCTTCTTTGGTAAATTCACCTTTCTTCGACAAATCTTCAATAAACAAGGAGCTTGGCCTTAGTAACATATTTGCCAGTGCTACATCCTGTGTCAAGTGTCGAAGTAAAAACATCACTTATTTTGGTTCCTTTTACTAGTTTACGAACCTTTTTCATAATTGCAAATGTTGTTATACTGCATAACCTTTATACAATCATACTCAATTATATTTATATTAGAGGTTAAAGTGTGATATTTAAGTATGAAAGAATGTATTTGTTGAAAAAGTATGGCTGATTAAGAGTAATGCAAGATCAAACGAACCTCAGGTGAAGAAAGATTGTAAAGCTTGTTAGAAACAAACTGAGGGCCGAAAAACATGGAAGTGAGAGGCTCTTCTGAGGTTCCACACTGTAAAAACTTGGTGTCTAGCCACTCTTCAGCTGGAGTCCGCTCGTTGTACTGTACAATAACAAGGTAAATATTGACTTGAAAAATATAATAAGAAACTAAAATAACAAAAAAAATTGTGTATGGTGTGCTAACTATTTGGTGAGTCGACCCATTATTTTCTTTTAAACAAAAGATGCATGTAAAAAGTTTATACTATTAAATATTATTCTAAATAAAAATATGTCTATACTATTATATATTATATTTTTATTTATGTTATTTATTAACATATATGACATATTAAAATATACTTACATATATATATTTAATAGATATTGTGGTTTAACCTTTAATAGTTGGACCTCACTAAATCCAGACATAATTATCGAACGTTATATTATAATCAGTCGAATGATGTGTTTTTCTTAGTCGGTCTAATGACATTTTAGTTAGTTGGAAGACAGCTTTTGAAAAATTTGTCCCAAACACTGGAATTTCTCCCACATGCCATTAAAATAAAATATATGTACGACTCCATTAATTAAGCAAAAGTCTCGAAACACTTTACACGTACTCACAATTTTAGCTTATATTAAAAGTAAAAAACTAAAAATTGTGAATTAAATATTCCACATTTCAAATTTATGATAAAATCGACATTCACCCAACTTCATAAATTCATGATAAATTTCGACAAACCGAGGAAACATGACAAATAACACGTGCAAACCCACGTGGGATATATAATGTATAACATGGAATTGTGACAAGCAGAAAATCGAATATTTGAATATTTTTATGTTCCAAATAATATTACTAAAATAATTGAATAATTTATATATTGTAAATTATCATTTTTTTTTTTCTTTCTAAAAGTCAATAATCATTTTGTAGAACAATGAATCAACCTTTATGTTTCTATTTGTTTATGTATTTATAGGAATCCTAAACATACAAATAAACTTAAATAAATAACTCTTCCTTAATTCTACAAAAAGTCCACATTGTATGCATTGTTGAAATAATTTGGATGCTTGTTTATGAGCATTCTAATGATAATTAAATTACTAGAAAAAAAAAAAATGAATCCTTTAGTCAAAACACTCAAATGTGAGAGTTTCAAGTAACACCTCTCTCACCTAGGCATGGCCATTTTCCGGTTCTGGGTCGGACTCACCGGTTCCGAGCCAAGGGTCGGAGGGCCTGAAATGGTCCGGACTTATGCACGGGCCGGTCAGTGAACCAACAGTTCCGGGCGGCCAAGTTTGATTAAGAAACTAAACAAAAAAATAATAAATTTTATTTTATTTTTTAAAAAAAGACCGAACCGCCGGTTCCAGTTTCGAACCAGAACTAGGCCAACGGTTCGAAAACTAAAAAATGGTGGTCCGAAACTGGCTCTATCAAACCACGTCGGTTCCGAGCATGTTGACCACAGGCCAGTTCTGGGCCAATCTAGTGAATTAAAAATCTATCTAACCAAAACAACTATAAATTTACCCTTAACATCTGATATAAACGATAATAACCAAACAAAGTCAATAAAATCGTAATTATACCTGCTCCAAAACATACGACGGCCGGTGCACGATATCCGGTACGAATGCTGTCAGAAAGACAGCCGCCACAATCTTTTTCGGGTACATCTCCATCGCGAGCCCCAAGTTGATTCCTCCGAGGCTATGGCCCACGAGCACCACTTTTTCCGAGACCTCCGCCAACAATTCCAAAAGTGGCCTCGTGTAGTCGGCCACACCCCTCAGCTCGTGGAGTTTCCTCGAGTCGATGCCGGAGGCCGCCAGGTCGAGGGCGGTGGCATGGTGGCCGGCGGCCTCGAGGAGCGGCTTCACCTTGTACCAACACCACGCCCCGTGGCACGCGCCGTGGACCAATACTAGGTGAACTTTCTGCTTAATGGCTAAACGGACCTCCATTACTTTTGTTGGTCACTAGTCTTCAATTAATGTGTGTGTTGTAATGAAGTTACTTATCCTACGCCTTGGTTTAAATTTATAGATGCCCCAGTTTTAGGTACATTTATTTGTCTTTTGTCACCCCACCCACGTACTCAAATTTTCATGTTTTTTAATGTGCCATTCACACATGTTCTAATGGGTCCAAACGAAATATATTTATATAGAAAATGTATTATGTAAATTCTGGTGTTACGTACAGTGATTGATTGTTGGATAACTATATATATTTAATAAATTGACATAATCTCATACTTAATAGATATTTTAAAAGACGATATGAATAAAATCCAATATTTTATAATATAAATATACATTTTTGTTAACAAATTATGGTTGCAGTATACTAGGGAAGATTGAAAATTATTTTTGGTTTTATATTAAGAATTGTGTATTATTGACAAATAATCACCACTATATATATATATACAAAAAAAATACATATTTTAGTTTACATTTTCGTTAAGAAAGTATAACTATCTAATAGCAGAATTCGTGTATTTATGTGCTCCGCTAGTTATAATGGGAAGTTCGATATTTATTTTTGGTTTTATTGAAAATTCATCACCACTTCTAGTTTAAATTAACGAGAACATTCCAAACGGTTTTGCTACAGATATGGCTGATGTTACACACACATACAAATCTAACCATTAGATAAACATACTTTTATAATAAATATATGCTTTCATATTAAAATTTCATTGTTTATAAACTACCATACATGAAAATATAAATTTACACATTATAAATATGAATTTCTATTAAAGAAAGTATGATGGATCAATCAACTTAAATGTTAATAGTTGTTTCACAAAAAATTTGTATCTTTCTAAAATTCAAAAATTCTATTATAAGTTGTAGTAATCATTTTGTAAGCTATCAATACTTTGATGTCGATAATTAGAAAATTCAAAATTGATTTAAATCTAAAAAATGGTGGGCTAGGAGTTGACTAGTCAACCGATCACTCTAATGTAATAACTAAAATTTTCTGAATTTACAAATTTCTCTCTTGAAATTTAGTTTCTATTCTGTTTTTATCGTCTCTACAATCATATCGTAGTCAAAACTTCCAAGTTAGGCAAAAGATCTTCCAACTCGCCAATTGGTTTATTTCCTACGTATTCCACTAAAAATAGGACAACAAATGAATCGAGTGGCTCCCAAGCTACTCGAGATTGCTTGAACCAAAGCTCAGCTTGAACTCGAGAACCTCGAACTCGAAGTCAAACGAAACTCGAGCTTGTGTGTATTAAGCTCGAGTATTCAATGAGCAACTCGAGTATAAGTATAATTTATCTAAATACCCTTAATTCAAGAATAAATTCGAACTAAACTTGAGCCAAACTCCAGAAAAATAAATAAATGAAAAATTTTCATTAAAAATTATAGCCAAACTCGGGTAAAATTTGAGCTAATATATATATATATATATATATATATATATATATGTGATTGAGCTTAATGTGAGAACCGTGATTATATATATATGTGATTGAGCTTAATGTGAGAACCGTGAGAATCGCTATTTTTAATTGTGCGTAATGCTATGACTGATTGTGTTTGGTGCTATTTTTAACCATGATGAATTTTATTAAAAATAACAACACAATTTCTGTTAGTATTTGTAAAAATGATAACATCATCGAACATGAAAAATAGTATCATACACAGTTAAAAATAGCATCAAACACGGTTCTCGCACCAGAACTAGTTTTTATTGAACCAACCCCTATATATATATATATATATATATATTTACGGGTCTAGACGAGCCTTAAAAAATCGATCTCGAGTTCGAGCAACAATAGAAAAATGAGGTCGACCAGATAATGCCAATGCTCGATAGACTCAGCTCAACCCACGTCGTTTGCCTCTACTTAGAACTTTCGAGATTAATATCAGTTATAAATACCACCAAATCAAAAAATGGTCAATTCTCATAACTTTATTACTCCCACACATCATCACACAATCAAAACAGAGGAAAAAACAGAGGATTTTACAATATTTGCTTGCTTTTGTCCCGCACTCAGCCATGTTTCTCGGCAATCTCGACGAGGCAAGGGCATCTGGCTGTGTAAACATGGGCATATGGTCGGCACCTTTGATCTCCTTCACCTCCTTCACTTTTGCAGACAGACATACTCAGATACAACAACATTGACATCCTTGTTGTCAACGATATATATTAACGAGCTGTTTTTTGTTCTTAGATTTATCTCTCTCTTCCTTGCTATCGCTTGTTGTCGACCCTCAGTTGGTCGTCGTCACTCGAGTTGATCCGGGCATTTATTTTGGAGCCCAGCACCATTTATGGTCATCATTACCTTCATGGCCAAAAGATGTGCCCAAGGGCTGAGCTCCAAAATAAATGCCCATATCAGCTCGGTGTGACGACGACCAACTGAGGGTCGACAACAAGGCGATAGCAAAGGAAGATAGAGATAAATCTAAAAACAAAAAACAACCGTCGACAACAAGGTATCAATGTTGTACTTAAGGATGTCAATGTTGTACCTGAGTATGTTTGCCTTTTTCCTGACTGTGTGGAGCCAAACAAGAAGTCAAAACTTACCACTGAAGATAAGTCATACAAAAATCTATAAATTTGGGATTATATGTAAGCTTTGCGGAAACAAGGAGTTGCGACATATTGTTAATTTCTATAAGATAAGTTTGGGATTATATACGGGGAAATTTACTATTTTTTCTATAAGATAAATTTAAAGTTCATTTGTTAATTTCAAATGAGTATTTGTAGTAAAAATTAAATTTTATTTTATATTAATAGAATGCTCATTGTTTTTATTTTATATATGGGATGAGTGTAGATAAAAAGTTATAAAAATTTAGTATGATAACGTATAAGTGAGAAGTCTTTAAATATTAATAAACTTATGACTTTTTAAAAATAAAATGAAAGTACAATTCATTTCTCTTTTTATATATAACTATAAATCATAATATTGTTTAAAATTTTAAAATTAGTCACACTCGATTTCGAGATGTAATTTTTAGACATTGAATCATTAGTTTAAGTTTTGTTTAGGATATATATATCGCAAATATATCGATGATCAACATGACACAATTAAGTGAAGAAAAAGAAAAATAGTATACGTCTTATCTATTCTAGAAATCGTGATGTGGTAGATTTTAGTTGGATAGAATTTAACGGGTCGGTTTCATTAAAAAAATCTAACAGTAGAAATNAAAAAAAAAAAAAAAAAAAAAAAAAAAAAAAAAGTAATTTGGATTACTAAAATAAAAAATTACCCCACATATGTACTTATCATTAAGCAACCCCCATATGGTCATGCTCAAAACTCATCTTCCACTTCCACAACATAGTTTCATAAATCAATTCTTTTTTCATGAAAGATATTCTAAACCAACCAAATACACTAATATTTATCAGCTAACTCTAGCAAGCAATGGCAAAGCTCTTGAGGCCTCGTAAGCATGACCATATGGCCAGCCTCGGCTATTGACACGACGACATCTGGCGGGTTTTCCGCAATATTCTGCCTCTGAAACTCCACACTCGAGACATCGTCCTCCTCGCATATTACATAACAACGTTTGATTTTACCATACCTCTCTTGGGACAGCAAACCCGGGTTGCTCAAATCCTTCGCGAACAACAAACTCGGTCTTAACAGCATTTTCGCTAATTCCACATCCTGAAATTTAAAAAATAAAAATAAAAAATAGCCGATACGTAAAATAGAAACGAAACACGAAAGGAGGCATGCAATGCAATAAACCTCTAATTGGCAATGACTATAAACCGTGTCTGCCATGTCATCCACGCGTAAGGCTGCCGAAATTGGCAGGTCTCCAAATTCCGGATCGAACACAAACTCGCAATCCATAAACGACGACTCGTCCGAGGTCCTCTTCACAAACTGTAGTCAAGTTAACGAGCCGACGAACAACTTATCATAATCAATCCATAATCAAGTGAAAAAGGATTTTTATTTTTTTAAAAAAAAGGCAAAATTGCCCCTAATATCACAATATTTTTCGAAATAGCAATTTAATCACGATCTTTTCACTTTTGCAAATTATACCACAATCTTCAAATCTGTTGCAAATCGATGTGCCGATTTGCAGAACTCCGTGCAAATTATATCACAACAATCTTCAGTTTGTTCTTCAGCCACATCAGCTTTTTTTCTAGGGCTAGTTTTCAGAACCCGTGCACTCGATTTGCAAAACACTGAAGACTGTGTGATATAATTTGCAAAAGTGAAAATATCGTGCTTAAATTGCAATTTAGCCAAAAACAAAACAGACCTTCCGAACGAAATCGCCAGGGGGTTCCGTGCAATTAGGCATGTAAGCCGTGACGAACACGGCCAACGACACTTTCCCGGGGAAAGTCTCGGCCGCTACGGAAATCGAGATTCCGCCGTAACTATGGCCCACCAAAACGACCCGCTCGTCGTCCGGGAGGGCCGAGAGAAAGTCCATAAGCGGCCGGGCGTAGTCAGAAAAGGAGGAAATCTGGTGGAGCTGGCTCGGGTGGACCCCACAGCCAGCAAGGTCCAGGGCAGTGACCCTGTGCCGATTGTTCTGCTTCAGCAGGTTCACGAGCTTGTACCAGCACCAGGCGCCATGGCCAAAACCGTGCACCAGCACAAAGTGCTTCTTATCATTGCTATTATTTTCATTCATTTTTTTTTTTCTTTTACTCTGTAATAATGTTGTGGAGTTACTTTGAGATGTGGATTTTGTTATATTATTTTTTCAAGTGTGTGGGTTTTTTGGTGTTTACTTCTGTTTTGACGTGTTGAGTGTAGTAATTTGTGTGGAGGATAAGTTCCATATTCGTTGTTGAAGTTCTATCATGTGATCACAAATGTAAGGATGATGTGTACTTATGTAATTCATCTACGTTGTGGCTAACCAATAGAGAGATAAAGAGAGAAATTAAAGTACAATTAATATCAGAAGTATCTATTTTGAATGTTTAATTTATATATTTTTTTTTTTTATTTTGGCTATGTGAATAATATATCGTGGTTGGATTATATTATGCATTAGAGAAACTTAATATTTATGCTATGGTTCATATTCCATTTAATTAATCGAGATTTGTTATTATTAGTTCCATCATAATATTTTTGAGCAATGAAGATGGTCAAAAGTCAATTTAGGTCCTCTGCTTAGTCGGCTACTGTGGAGGAACTTATCCTCCAAAAATGATGAGTGTGTGGCTCAAATGGCAAAGAAGGACATTAGGATTTGACCATTCATTGCAAATTTTCAATAATTGGGGCTTCGGAAGGGAATGGAAAGGGAAGGGAGGGAAGGAATTATCAATTTTTTTCTTGTTTGGTTCCAATGTTTTGATGGGAAACCAAGAAATTTTGAAGTTACAAAAATGGGGAATTTGGAGATGGAAAAGAATAAATCTCTTTCATAAATATTTACAACATAAATACATTCAACTTTTGTTATAATTTAAAAATATTTAAAAAATAATAATGGTCAGGTCTACCATGTCAAGGCCTGGACCTTTGTTAACTTTATCGGCGAGTTTAAATTCGACCAAAAGTTGGGACAGGAAGAACATACGTCTTAAATGAACATCTTAGATCAACATATATGATATATTCCAAGAATAAGTTGAATATATACATGGTTGAATGTTCTTTTTCCAGAGGAAGAGAATCACATTTCACTTTTAAATATACATGGCATGGTCCTATAAGACCAGAATTTAGCCTCTGTTCATATGCACAGGATAATCGAAATCCTGAAGATAGAGCTGAAATCGAAATATAAGTTCGAGGGATATTTGCTTAGTGATTAGTCAGCTAAGCATAGTAGGGTGCCCAGTTTGGAGCATCCTTTTGAACATGTCCATCCCGAATGCTGAATCTGATGAGCTGAAAAATCAATGTTTTGTTTAATTGTATTGCTCGTATAAAATCAATGTTTTATTTAATTATAATATTCAGTTTTGCTTCTNAAAACCCCGAAAGGCATCAAACAAAGTCACGAGCTTTATTATTATTTTTAAATGATTGCATGTAATTGGCTTAGGTAGGCACAACAATATCATTCTTAATGTGCAAAAGGATCAATCAATGGATCAAAACTTGGCAGATAACTGCAGCTAGGGTCCCCTCCTTTATATGAATGCCACAACTCGTCAGATTCTGTAAGAAGGAATATATGCAGTCTTTCTATAATCTTGAACCAATACAGTCAAGTACACCAAATAATAGCTTCACGAGTTGTTTCAAATAAAGATGAATCCATAATAATATAAGGCAAGATGGAAGGCCAACAGCCCCATTCAACTCGTCTCCACTTACCTAGTATGGAAGGAAATAAATCGAAGAAATTTATAAAAAAACCAAATTAAACATGTATGATTTTGTTGACTAGATACATGTATGTTCTATCATCATGTAAAAGAAAAAATTTCAAAACACATTTGCATCAACGAATCTTGCACAAATGTAGAACGAATTTACGAAATAAAATGCTAAAAACACATTTGCACGGTTACACCAATAAATCTTGCAAACATTATAATATGTAGAAGGTACCTCGAGATAGTAATTTCATAAGGAAACGAGACACCTTCGAGATTCGGTATTGGAGGAACATGATCCTTCTTCTCGTTCACGAATCTGATTATTTGAAACAGAACATCACGGAGGGAAGATTCTAGAGCCCCACGTCTAGCATTCCTTGCCTCAGCTGCAGTATCTGAAGATAAAAATACACAAAGAACAATGTCAAACAGTACCTATGTTAACAAATCATGAATTCAAACAATTTAATATAAATGGGCTAACAATACCTCCTCCAGGAACAATCGCCATCTTTGAAGAATACGACTTTCCATAATGACCCTTTGGATGTACCACATTCAAATTTATGTACCACTGTTCCCAGTAGAGGCGCTCGACTTTATTAGTAAACCAAGTCGCCTGTTTGTTCTTTATCTCGTAGAAGGATAGGCATATCTGCATCACTTACACTGTATCAGAAAAAGAGTTTAAATGATACAAAATATCCAGTGCAGACTAAAAGTTTTGTCCAAATGTTTAACAACACAGAAAAAAAGTTTAGCAAATCATGGACCTGGTTTTTCTTGTTCGGGTGCTTCTCGACCCTGTCAATAAATTGGTCAATCTTCTCGTCTATTTTGCGATCAAGTTCCAAATCACCACATTGTACCTGCACAAAAAGATACCAGACTGAGGTGACAGGTGGCACAAAGACCAAATTAAAATAACATCTCACGCACACGCAGAGAATGAGAAAGTGTTTTGCCTCAAGTTTTGAAGACAAAATCATCATAAAAATGAAATCTTGGAACTCCCAAGATTTTGATTTTATGTATTCAAGTAAGAAAAAAAAAACATCAAAGGCAGCTTCGAAACCACAACAGAGCCTAAAACTTAGAAATGCCGGTATTTCAGCATAAAATGAACTTCAGCATATCAAGAAAATAGTTTACTAGCAACTAGCAAAAGAGAAAAAAAAAGTAAAACATCAACAAGGAACTTAAGCATATAAAAGTAATCTCATAAATCTGCAAGCACTTTATGAAATTGGTAAAGCACTTACATATGTAATCTCAAAGAGCTCCAGATCAATATCTTTGGGGCGAACTAGCCCTAAAGCCCTGTGGAACAAAATAGTGTGCAGAATGCCTGAAAGCAACCTTCACCATATTAGAGACAAAAAAAATCTCAACTTTTTATGTGCATTCCCATAAAAGGGGGGAAATTCAATATGGGCTCTGTTTATCTCAGAAATACTGATCACGATGCATAACTAAAACCTAAACAATCCGATTCAGAGGTAAACAACCAATCGCTGAAGCTAATAATCAATGGCATAACCTCACTTCAATTGTTCGACCAATTAGTCACCAGCAAAATCAAAATCGAGGAACAAACAATCGCGTAGGGGGATCAAATGATAATTGAAACTAAGGAACTCGAAACCAACTTACATCGAAGAACTTCACGTATCTCAAAGTGCTCAACATCCTAATACAGTAAACAAAAATCAGATTTTTCTACTTCAAATTCACCTTACGAGCATATAAAACGCATAACAGATTGAAGTTTGTATCTCGAGAAAAGGGACTCACGAGTTCTTTGAGCTGGCAAACTTCGCAGTTCATAGCGATTGCTGACGGCGCAAAATCGGCAACGGGGATTCAATCGGCGAAAACCAGAGAAGAAAAATAATTCCTTAGAAATAAAGGTCGATTCAGATATTTTCTAAAACTTTCCTAAACGGGTTTTAAAGGTATTATTTCCAGCTCTCGCTAAAACTTAGAAGGGGGAGCCTTGGATATAGTTATTTTTGAATTTGTTGGATAACATAGTTAATTTTGAGAAGGTTGATTGAGTTAGATTTGGGAAATTATGAATTTATATTAAAAGTAATATTTAAAATATAATAACTAAAGTTGATTTTATATAAAAGTATAAGAGATGGAATTGTAACTGATGAGTAGTTAAAATTATGTTAGTAGATGAATAGTTAATTAATGTTGATATGATTTATAAGGATGATTGATTTATATCATTTAATTATATTAATAATATTGAAGAGAGTTGGGTTGAATTAAATTTAAATTAGATTTTGAGTTAAAAAACTATCCCGGACAGAAGTGACCACATAATTTATAACCAATCAGGCCTGAATATTTCAATTCTTATGGTTTATGTATAAATTGGAAAACCCTTGTTGGATCGGCTCGACTTGGCTCGATAAGGTTTGATAAGTCTCGATATAGAGAAAATTTTATATAATTTTCTTCTGAATTCGTGACGTGTTCGAGCTCATTCTATTTTATATTTTATTTTCGAAACGAAGTTAGTGTTACGAATAAACTTCTATTTGTGTTTTTCGGGTGTACTTGATAAATATATATTCTAAATTTTTGAACTAAAGAGAGTGTATCCGTTTGAGATTTCTAAATTTTTTTTTAAGATTTTAGAAATTCTGGTCTATTTAACTTAGACTTTTTAAGATGTCTAAAAGTCTTGGTGTATTCATTTGATATTTTAAAAAACTTATAAAATCTTGAGATATATAACTTATTTGAAACTGTGATTTGTTAGAACATTTTAAGATTTGTTGGGATTTCAATATAAAATGATATGCGAAATCTCACATCCATACTTAAGATTTCATAGGATTCCTCGTAAATCAGAAAATCTTAAAAAATCTCAAATATAAAAAAATCTGAAAATGTCATTAAAAATCTCAAACGAATACTTGTTATTATTGGCTTGATTATTGCATATTGAGAGGTTTTCATTAGTTCTACTATGTGTATCCTGATTACCGGTGGCCAGATGTCGAAACCGTCGGTTTTGGCCTGGTCCGGTTCACTAAAAATAAATAAAAATATTTAAAAATAAAAATAAAAAAAATCACAGGCTTGGTTCAAGGCTCACTGACCAAGGGCTGGTTTGGGTCGTCGGTTCGGCTTGTGGTCATGTCTAATCCTGATCTCTTTAATCATTGTTTATTTATCCACTTATTAGAATTCTATTTTACTTATCATTTAAGTTTTTAATTTCTAATTATTGCAAAATAATAACCCTAATATAAACTAGAGAAAAAGATAAAATTTTGAAATTGAATTATTAGGATGTGGAATTACTTTGAATGTAACTTACAAGGAAAAAAAAAGGGCACTCCTCTTATCTCTCGGGAAAAAAAATAAAAAATAAAAAATTAACAGACTGCAGAGTACAAAGCACAGAGCAAGTTTCCCCTCCTCATCTTTGTCGGCGTGTCACCTGGCCGTCGTCCGACCTCTAAAGGGGCCAACGTCGAGATCTTTTTCGGAGGCTGGCCGATTTCGACGACACTGGTGATGCGGCTTTCCGCATGTCCTTTGATGTCTTTGTCTTTTGAGGGTCAGATATGAAATGTTTGTTCAAATATGGCTAGCCGTTTTGAGTGGTAACCTTTTGGAGGTCAACTGTTGCAGCTTAGGGTTTGGTCTTAGTGGTGGGTGTGGTTTAGCTAGTGGATGGGAGGTTTTATTGAATTTTATTTTTGCTTATATTCTATGTGTTTTTTTTGTTATTATTATTATTCTCCATTAGTAGAATTTTTATTTTTTACTAGTGAGAGTATTTTAGTAAATTTTTAATTTGTGTTGTCGCCTTTCTAGGCTACCTCGAGTAGGTCTCATTTTAGATTCAACTTAATAGTTGATTCATTCAGCTGTTTATGACAGTTTTTTAGTCTGTAAATACTTGTGTCTATTAATAAAATGTCTATTTTTCTAAAAAAAAATAATAATGAGAATTTTCTTTTAAATGTCCAACAAATTATGGTTTGGCTAGAATTATGTGCACACACAGCTCACCGTCAAATGGGTCATTTAACCGAGAAATATTTACACTGCAAATGAGGCCATGCAATTTTTATTGCACATACGATATATATATATATATATATATCTTATTAGAATATAAATTATTTTTTTACTAATATTCCTATTTTGTATTATAATTATACAATAACAAAAAAAAAAAAATTATATGAAAGTTAAATAATTTATATTTATAATATACATCTACATATAGTCAAAATTTTAAATGTATCTAATTTAAATTTTTAAATATCATATACGTACATATAATATATAAAATTTTGTTTCCCTCTATGCATGTGCACAAGATCAAATACTAGTATATATAACCATAACAAATTTATTTGTATTGTATCAAAACTTAAATAATTGTTTCTTTTTTTTCAAATTTTAATATGGGTGGGTTGTTTTTTTTTTAAGAAAGTGGCAGATTAAAAGGAATTTGCAATTAATAGGGAGTTTAAAACCAATATTCAATATGTTTCTTCTTCTTTTTGCAACTACTTATTCCCAATTTAATTCTATATATTTACATCTTCAATTTTCTTCCGCACGCATGAAAACCCTATCAAGCAAAGAAATAGCTCAAAATAATCACCCTCCACAAAATAGATCGAGTTTTTGTTGGGGGAGTAGCGTGAGTCGCGCAACTACTGGCGACGTAACTAGAGATGTGGGAGCGATGTACGGCTAGAATGAGGAGATATGTCGAGCGCGTGGCTACATCACCGACGCCGCCGTCGTCAACATACAACCATTGACGGAGGCAGCCGGGAGGTCAAGGAAATCGACTCAACGGGGAGCAGCATGATGACTGGAATGAAAAACTCTATCAAGGGGCACGACTATATCTCTAACGACAACGACGTCGATGGACGACCATTGACGGAGGTGCGGTTCAACAGCGGTGGTCGACAATTGCGGTGGCTTTAACCGGTCCAATCAGCCATCGACTTAAGAAACTAGAAGGGTGATCGTAGATGCTCCCCTCGCCTACGAGCCGCCGCGCGCTTGTTCCGTGATATGAAGGAGAAGCCAAAGATGTTTTTATTTATGGTTTGATTATGGTTTAATGTCCTCTTTTCTGGCTTTATTGTAGTTTATATTCAATACATATGTGTAAGGATTTCTTAAGGAGTGTTTGTTTATAAATATTTTCAATCTATATTCAAAATCTAACTCAACATTAATCCACTCCATTATCCTCAATATAATTAAATAATATCAAATAATTATTCCTACACATCACATCAATTTTATTTCACGATTCATCAACTCACATAATTTTAACTAATCATCATTTCACATATTATCTCCTACTTTTATATCAAATCAATTTTCATTATTTATTTTAATATAAACTCAAAATCTCACTAACAACTAACTATACTAACTTATTCAACATTGACTTTGATTAACTAAAAACTCATTTTGAGCAGATATATTTGTATCCAAACATGCCTTTAGTCTTTAGGAGAATTGTTTTAGATGCTTTTATTATGTCACAAGATAACATAAACATGTTGTAAACTATGAATAATTTGAAGGTAAAATTAAATAAAAAGTAGTTCACATTCATAATGAAAATGTATTATTTATAAAAAAAAAATGATTTTTTTTTTTTTTGAAATGTTCATATTTATGAAAAATGTTTAAAAAGTGTAATAGATATATAAGTTAGCCTTTAACCGGACGAATTAATGACACCCCCTATCCATTTGTCTATACAGTTTACATATTTATTCCTACTTATTATTTAGACAAAACTACTCCTTTTATTTCAAATTATACTTTTTTTTTGCACGTTTCTAGGTTTTTAAAATTCTGATGGTTTTTATATTTAATTTAAATTTTAATTTTTGTAACCAACACATCCTTTGATATTATCCCACTTTTTTTCTCTTTTTCTTTCTTTCATCTCTTGGTTACGTTTCTTCTTGTTCCTCTCTTTTTGTTTTTCTTCTCAGCTTTTTGCGTGATGAACTCGTCTTCCCGGTAAGTGAGCCTCTAATTTCACCCAATTTTTTTTCTTCCCTAATTTCGATGTACCATACTCTGTTTGTATATTTTTGTGGCTTAATTTTTCAAATTTTATGTTTTATTTAAGTACTTGTTTTGTTTTAATTGACAAAATTTATTGCAGGCCAACGATTTGATAAATTTGGAGTGGCTGTCTCAATACATCGACGACAACTCCACGGCGGGTCTCTACTTGTTATGCCCGGTCAGAATTTTACCGCCCTAAAGAGCCGAACACGTGAACCGTCTGGTCCATAAGATTAGCGTCTCGTTTTTTCCCTTGTTGGTCCTGAGAAAACCGAGGATCTAGCTCCCGATGAGGCCGCGTGCGCAGTGACAATACTGGGTGTGCGGGTTTGAGAAACCGATGGTTTTGGAGGCGAATTGGTTCAGTTGTGTAGGAAAACTGTTGATAAAGCGCCGAAGTAAGGCGCCAACAAATGTTTAATATTGATGATGTACGGCGACTTGAAATTGGCAAGTTGAGACGGTTTAGGTGGTGTTCGATTAGGTTGAAATTTGCTTTTATGTTTTCTTTGACAATTTTGTAATATTTTTTTTTTGGTAATTGAGAGTTGTTTTTATGTTTCTTGGTAATTTTTATGTTGTTGTTTTATTGTTACTTCATTTATCTTTTTTGTCCTTGGTAATGAATCAAAATGAGATTACTGTTAATGATTCCTGCAAGTCATAAAAAAAAAATTGCTATTTAATTAATTCGTTTATTGACTATTAATTTCGAACATAAATGAGTTGCTGTTTTTGTTTCTATTAATTTTTAATAAAGCAAAATTTATAATTTACAATTATAGTTGGCACCCTTTAATGCTTTGTAATCTTTATGTATATTAGATTCCAATTTCCATAATTTTTTGGCTGGCCTTCGTTATTGTCGGGAGCATGTTTCTCCTTGATTCATGCTTTTTTTTTTTTATGTTTTTTTATTTGAAAATAAATAACTGCCATCAGTTTTTTTATGTTTTTTTTTAAACTGTCACCTAGTTATGTTTTTTTTTTTTTAAATGTAATTGTGGCCACAACTTGGAGTAGAAATGGAAATCGTCAGTAGCAGTGTTTCTTGTGGAATTGTATTCTTAAAGAGGGTTAGTTATGGATTTTCGCCTTAACCGGACATATGGGCAGCCATGGCCTGATCTCTACGGCCCATGGACTGCTGTCTCTACGGCCCATTTAAATATGCTCCAATCTGGCCCGCTCTGTTAGGCTGGACCAGCCCATATTTAAATAAATCAATACCGTTGTTTATTATGCCCAAGAGCTCGTGACGTCACCTACTGCCCAAAATTGCCTCAGTTTCATTTTATTTAACCTTCCCCAGTTCACGTTCTTGAAACACAACTCGGCCTCGTCTCCGACTAAGATGTTTACAGCCACCGCCTCAGTTCCACCGCCGACCAATCTTCAGAATTCTTCGGCGGCCGATCTCTAGAGTTCACCGCCCCTCGCCTCCAATATCGCTTCTCCTCTTCAACTTATAAAAGCATTTTTAGAATCCCACCGCCACCTCACCGGCGCCTCTTTCATCCTTTGTAAACCCTTAACAAAAACCCTAAAAAAGATCTACTAGCTATGGAAGCAGTCGTTGTAGACGCCGGTACCAAATTTCTCAAAGCTGGCTTTGCTGTTCCGGACCAGCCCCCTTCTATGGTAACAGCCTTTTTCTGGCTACTTCTTATGTAGGGCGATACCCTTGGCCTTATTCATAGAATTCTAATGCCGTAAAGGTTTATTTGTTGAATTTGTGACCATGTTTGATTAGGGTTGTTATAAATGACTAAAATCATGTGCCTTGATTTGGAATAAATTGTAGGGTTTTTCACGAATTATAGCAGTCTCCATTGTGAATTGTGATTGTTCCCTGCAATCTTCATGGTGTGTTGTAAAAGTATGTGATTGTTATGCATTGTTGATGGTGCTAATAGTGTCTTGAAATGGTGATTGGTGATGCTAGCAGGCTAGCACTGTATCAAAATGTGTTCGCATTTGATGGCTTTGCTTGTAGCGATATGCACTGAATTTATTATGATGCTTTTGATGATCTAATACTTCTGATTGTTTTGTGATCGTAGCACATGCACTGTTTCTTTGTTTAAATGTTTAAATGAAACAGCGTAAATGAAAGCCGGAGATTTTAAATGCAATAAAACCTTGTACAAATATCTACAACATTGTGACACATCATTATTATTAAGTGAATTTGTCTTGTTACATACAAGTTTTAGAAAAAATATGTTTATGGTGAAATTATTCATTTCCTTTTAGATGCCATCGGTAAAGCACATAATTAATAGTGTTGTTAACATAAGGTTTGTACCATTTTAATAGCGTCACAAGTGCTGTCTACATCGCATGAGATATCTTGGATAATGCAAATAATTATTTGACGTATTTTTTTGAACAATAAGTTGCTGGCACATGCTTTTGAGGCTATATGTGTCATCCTTTTGACATAGACTGCAAAGATATTTATGAAGGAATGTAATGTTGGTAGATTAGTGGATTGGAACTTAACTCTGTTGCTGCTAGCTTTACATTGTTGATTGAGATTGAACTTGATAGTGAAGCGTAGGGAGCTCAATAGAAGTAAAAATAGTTAAAGTAACCCTAGCAAAATCTTTTTTAAAGAAGGAATGGAAACTTTTAGGTTAATATTCATTTATGATGGTGGTGTCTTTGAAGTTAATTACAATCATATACTAATGTTTGTGTTGATCTAGATTTACCATTTTAGTTGATAACATAAACAGTATTATTGAATATTTATTTATGCCTTGGTGTGGGGGTAGTATTGACTTTATAACTTTTACGTGAAATCCTGAAAGTACCACCAAATGGATGAGTTATTTACATTCTTGGCCTCGTTCTAGAAGGAAGTATTTTCTCATTTAGGTTATCCTACACTTCCCTCTTCTTCACTCTCTCTGTCTCTATGGGTCGAATTGGGAAGCGGCTGCGGCGGCGATTGCTCTCACGTTTAAGTGAGGCTACGGAACCTGCTGTAGTTGACATTGGTTCTAAGTTTCTAAAATATAATCATGCCTTGCCTAATCTAGGCCCGGAGGTAACCTCTCATTTATCAAATAGAAGATCTGGATCAGAGTTGATAGGATTTATTTTGGAAAGCTGTTTGAGTGAGAGATTTTTTAATATCTGACCTATTCGTTCTTATGACATTTTTGTTGATCTCTGCCATTTATGAAATTTGTGCTGTTATATATGCTATGGTAGTGGAGTCTGTATCCTATTGCGTGGTCTAGGGTTTTGATCTCCCTTTTGAGGACCTTGGAAGATTGAAAGCTGTCTTGGTATTACTATGATGCTTAAGAACTTTCAAGTGTGAGTTTATGAAAGTGTGAGTTTATGAACAGTAATGCTTCCAAAGAAAGTTAAATAAGACCGGGAGAATTATGTTATGATCGGCTTAAGTTCATCTTTAATTATTGTTCAATGTTCAACCACTTTTTGTGCATCCAACTAATTTTGTCTCAACAATTCATGACGAGGCCTTTATCCTTTATTTACATTATTTCTTAGCATTGTCATTATTTCTACCTTTCTCGTGCGTTCATCTCCATGAATTTCAGCGAGTTGACATTATTTGTTTACCAATGAATTAATGCTACCTTATATTTCCTTTATATGTTGCTTGCATCCTTCCCTAGGTTCCATCTTAAGTACACTTTTGGTATAATGTCTTATGGTTTAAATGTACGTATCATCCTCAAATAGGTATTGTCATCACAAATGAAGAAAATTCCTGAAGATGAGCCATTGAGTTATTCTGCCTTGCTCGCAAGTATGGATATTGATCCAGTTGAAAGAGGCTTTATCAGAGACTGGGATGCTATTGAAGATATGTTGAAGCATATACTATACAATAACTTGGGTTGGGAGATTGGCAATGAAGGACAAATTCTATTCACTGAACCGCTTGCAACTCCAAAGGTTGGTCAAAGTCTGTTGATATCAAGTTAAAAGATTGATAAGTCTCTCTTTCCCTTTCTAGTTAAGTATTGTTCGTAAGATGCCTTTGTGCTAGTAGTGTAAGTACATGCTTATGCATACATTACAACTACTGCAGAAAGGTTACATTGAGTATTGGGAAGAGAATACTAGGTTCTTTCTCTTCGCCTTAATGTTTGATGATTCTGTTAAGAGCTATTTTTGGATGAATTGATCAAAATCTTATTATTTTCTTAACTATATAGATGACTTCAGTCATTCAAATTCTGTCAATTTTTCTATGACAAGATCTCTAATCGAGATTGACATGGAACAGGCTGTTAGGGAGAACTTGGTGCAATTGATGTTTGAAAAGTTCAACATCTCTGGTTTTTATGCGTCCGAGCAAGCAGTTCTGTCCCTTTATGCTGTAGGACGCATCTCAGGTTGCGCTGTTGATATTGGCCATGGAAAGATGGGTATGTGTATCCAAATGTGTGTTACTTGTAATGTCCATTTGTCTAAATTATCTCTTTAGATTGCACGACTTTGCTTGGCTTCATGCGCTCAAGTAATTCCTAACACCATTTTGTGTTTTGGATAAATTCTTATTCTTATACTCAATGTTATGATTCTTATCAATTTTGTTCTGGTCACATTTTTTGTTTTTTTTAATAATTGTCTTATACTTCAATTGTCTTCAGACTAATAATATTCTATATAAATTGCCTTACACTTCTTATTCTTGTATATAAACAACTTAATTACAATCTAATCAGCCCACTAATTAGGCTAAGCTAATTACTACCTGATGTTTAACCTACTAATACAATCTGTCAAGCTGATTCGGAGCCCGATAGTTAATTAATTAACAATAGCGCACCCTGAAAATCAGCACATTAAGCCATTGTAACTTCCATTCGACCGCATTAATTATCCTGACATCCTAAATGTGTTGGTAAAGGGTTTGATGATGATGCTATTTCGTATAGCAGGTACTTTGGTATTTTGAATCATGTAAGTGGTTAGTGAACAAAAAGAATCAATGATAAAGGATTACATGATATTTCTTGTTTTCGCTATCTACTTTCAAGAGAATTCTAGGCTCAAGGTTAATATTACTAATTAGTGAAGTGGCTGTGATATCTTGAAATTACTAATTGAGAAACTTTTGTTGCTGGAAACTTTCATCTATTGCTCATGTGCACAGCCATTGTTTGGTACCTACAGCGGTCCTTTTGGACTTCTTGCTCATGATGCTTGCTGGTTGCTAGATTGAGTGGCCCGTGTAACCTATCTGTCAGTGTCTGTTGTGTCGAATCTTGTATACCGACTCTAGAAATGGCTTCTTTTGAATGTCTAATTACCTGTCTAGAACTCAGTTGTTGTAGTTGTTGTAGTAGGTACAGATGTGATAGCAATCACTTGTTGAACAAAATCATTTTTGTTCCTGAGTGGGCCTTTTGACTGTAGCAGAATGAGGCATTTGATGATGACTGTTCCTTGATGACTCTTTTTGTCTTTCTGAGAATATTGGTTTTGGAGACTGGTTATTGATGAACGAGTTAGTTTTATATTGGCTTTGCAAGGAAGTCATTATAGAAGCTTAAGAATGACCATAGATTCTGGAGCAAGAAAGTGATTAAGACGGCAATGAGGAAAGTATGCTGGGAAGCATGAAATACTAAACCTGAAGTTGAATTATTAATGAATACCTTAAGCAATGTGAAGTTGAGAGAGAATAGTGAATTATATGTGGAGACAATTGTCTTAATTAATATATAATAAGACTTTCCAGATTCACCTAAATTTCATCTCTTTTGTTGACCTCTAAAACTGTTTTCTTTTTTCTTTTTCTTTTTTTCTTTTTTTTTTTTTTTTTTTTTTTGTGTTTTTTTATTTATGCTTCCATTAGATCCATGTAGGGACCCCCTTGGTGGATTTTCTTGTGATGACATAGAAACCTTTCTTATTACTTCTTGAATGGAAAGTGTAAATGAATGTAAAACGGTTCTAAGTTTGACTTATTTATCTATCAGAGCAGCAGTAACCAGGCACTTCGTAGATCATTTTATTTTCTGTGAAGCATGTGAAGCTCTCTCAAGCAATATTATCTGAATCATCTTATTTTTTTATTTAGGGTTTCCCTTGTGGTTTTAAAAAGCAACATAGAGAATTTCTGACAGATGTGATCTTGCCTTCAAAGTGGTAGATTTGGTCGATGACTTGTTCTGTTTCCCATAATTTCAGATATTGCATCAGTAATTGAAGGTGCTGTTCAGCATATATCTTCCCGAAGATTTGAAATTGGTGGCTCGGACTTAACAAACTTATTTGCTCAAGAACTCCGCCAATCCAATCCGCAATTGAGGCTTAACCTTTCGGATTTTGAAAAGTTGAAGGAGCGGTTTGCATGTTGCGCCGAGGATGATGTAGCCTATGAAAAACTCCTGCAAGCATGCCCTGAGGAGCAACATACATTGCCTGATGGACAGGTAAGACTATTTCAACTTAATGGAAGACTGAAATTCAAATTTACAGGGGAGGTTATCAGCTGAATTTCTGTCAGTGTAAGCCATGTGTCTATTGGATATACTTTTCCATTTTGATTATCCATTGGACTTCTAGGTTTGCTACTTTTATTTTTGCACTTGAAGATTTATTGGCATAATACCAAATTTCTTATTTTGTTGAACTACTTGGAGGCAACTGGAACAATACTCTTCGGGTTTACGTACTGCATAGCTGGATTGGGAGTGCTACTTTGGTTGCACTCAAAGATAACATAATGGCTTATTATGCATGTTTTGAACTAGAGTGCATGCTCCTATGCTTTTTGTCTATGGTTTCGGTTAAAGTCTCATTGCCTAGTTATTCCTGGTGTTGCGCAGAATATAAATCTGTAGATTGGTAATCCATGGTGTTTGTTTAATGGGTTTTCAAATTGGAAATTTTGGTATTCATGTTTTCCTAGTTGTTGTGTGGCCCTATAATATAACAAAACAAGGTGCTTATGAAGTTGCTTACATTTAAATTTGCTGTTCTCTCTCTCAGGTGATTAAAATTGGAAGAGAGAGGTTCACAGTTGGTGAGGCCCTTTTTGAACCATCTATCTTGAATATGGAAGCACATGGAGTAGTTGAACAGCTTGTCCGTTGCATTTCAACTGTGTCAACTGAGAATCACCGCCAGCTGTTGGAAAATACTGTACTATGCGGTGGAACTTCAACCATGCCTGGTAAGATTTGTTTACAACTCTTTTTTGCAAGTGAAGAAGAAACATAGCACTTCAGTATATCCCTGCATTTGTCTAGATTGGGATCACTGATTTTAGGACACTCGGCATAATCGCAGATAAAATTTGTTACAGTAGCCACTTTTAGATACGGGTCTTCAGACCCACACTATATATTGAAAGACAGTTGCTAGTTTTTATCTTACCCTATATATTGATTTGACTTCGTGGAAACTTTGAAGAGAATTGTGTTGAGAAACAAAATTTTTGTCCACTTGGATGTCATGGTGTCCCTCTAGGATCCATCACCTCATATATGATGTGCATTATTCTTTTTTTTTTTCCAACTGCGGGTTGTAATAGGATATGATGGGTTTCTGCTGCTATATGAGGAGGCAAACATGCTATTAGGAATCTATTATTTAGTTATCTTGTGTTAAATGTTTTTTGCTGTCATAGGGTTCGAAGAGAGGTTCCAGAAGGAAGCTGCTCTTTCCTCCTCTGCTATCCGGCCTTGCCTTGTGAAGGTAATATGCTCAACTTCACCCCTAGTTTTCAGGGAAATAGAAGGGAAATCTGTAGAAATACTTTCATATTCGGGCAAAAGGTAATAGCTCCTAGAATCTGGACAACTCTAATTCCCAACTGGTGCAGTTGCCAAATTAGTTTAAACATAATTGAAATCAGATGTTATGAACAGTCAAGGAGAACTTTGTGAGACCTCAGCAACACAGTAAGGACTTCTTTGATCTGGGCAAAATATGTCTACTTGCTTTAATGAAAAACTTATCGAAGCTAATCAAAATCTTAGATGGGGCGTGTTTGCATAAATTTATTACAATTGAAAACCCGCAATTTATCAAACATTTTTATGCGGTTCATGCATCTAATGATTAATTATCTATACTATAATCCCTTTATTTTAATCTCAGCCTCCGGAGTACATGCCAGATAACTTGGCTAAATATTCAGCGTGGATAGGAGGTGCCATACTTGCCAAAGTGGTCTTTCCTCAAAACCAACATGTGACGAGAGGAGAATATGACGAAACTGGGCCTTCCATTGTTCACCGCAAGTGCTTCTGAGGAGTCGTTAAGTGCTAGGCTTAGGCAGCAAAAAACTATTAAATAAAGTAGGGTTGAAGATATTTAATCCATGCTGCCGGATAGTAGTATTTAACTTCTGAATATTATTAAACTTGTGTGTGTTGTGCCAAAAGTCATGTAAATTTCGTATACTTTGTCATGGCTGAACCACATTACATGTGTTAATGAGCTCGTTTTTAGGCATCTGGTTTTATTGGTGTGGGAAGTGGAAGTTAGAGAAGGCAAATGAAACACTTGTGCCTAAATAAATGAACCTGACTAGACTGCAGGTTGACTATAGCTGGTGAGTAAGGGTGGCAATTTGGCCTGGACCAGCCCTTAGTCTTTTAGGCTTGTCAAATCGGGCTTTTTTCGAAATGTGCTAGGTCGGGCCTACATGGCCTGCTTCGACCCACCAGCTCGCAGCAAGAAGAAAAACGTGTTCATCCTCTTCACTTCATCTGCAAATCGCCAAAGCAACCAAGTAAAAATGCTAAATACTTAATTCAAAACATATAATTACTTAACTTAATTATTAACATTTCATTGGGATGATTATGCCTTATTTGTGTATAATTACGTCTTTATTTAAGTTTAATTGTATAAAAGTGTTCAAATTTAGAGACTTATTTTGTGAGACTTGGAACTATTGTTTTTCTTTTTTTAATTTCCCTTACACGATGTTATTAGGGTTGGTGTTTATTGATCAAAACAATAAAACGAGAGTTCTCTTAGCCTCTATTTCATTATCTCTTTCATTATGACTAGTACGTAATCCGTGCGATGCACGGGATGTAAAATTTGGAAGAATAATATAACCTCACGTGCATTAGGAATTGAAATCATTAAAATACATAGGAACATTGTTGAATCATAAAAAGGTCGGTAATAATCATATATTATTAAAAACCTCCTTGTACACAACATTATGAGTTTGATTATTTGGTAACTCCTCATTATCACAAACTAATATTTTCAAAAGAGACAAATCCTAAAAATCAAACTAATATTTTTGGTGAACAAACTAATATTTTAGGATTGGTGAACAAACTAATATTTTAGGATTTCTAGAATTTGTCTCTTTTTGGTGAACAAACTAATATTTTAGGATTGGTTATATGAATAAGGCTACCTGTTTTCGGTGTTTTTTTCATTCATTTTCATTCAAACAATCCGATGACTTGTATAATGAAATCCGAATCTTAAGCCGAAATATTTAAAAAAAGAGTTTTTTAAAAATTGAAAAGTCAAGACAATCAGTTCAGATTAATTAAAGGTCAAAGAATATCCGCTCCTTGAAATAAAGACGTGTGCTATCATTAACCAAATATCCGGTTATTGATATAGAGTGGTTACCAAAAAATAAAGACGTGTGCTATCATTAACCAAATATCCGGTTATTGATATAGAGTGGTTACCAAAAAATAGAACGCGATAAGGACGCTTCATGGAAATATCAATGGGATAAGGTCATAACAGATCGCTATACATTTTAACGATAAAAGCTCAGATGGAATGATTTATGATAATTATGTCGTAATTAATGAATTAATTAGATGTGTAAAAATGACATAATTAATGAGAAGTGTGAAAAGGACATAATTAATGAGAAGTGTGAAAAAGATAAAAACTTACCAGTTTTGAAAAATATTTAATGCAAATCCGATATTGACTATAATTTGACCTACTATTTTGAATAAATGTTAATTCTTATAATATAAGTATAGATTACGCTATGTAATCTATGCATGGGTGGTGAATCTATGCATGAGTAGTGATGTGGAAGGAGCTCGACTAGCCGACATTGGAAGTCGTGCGACTCGTACAAAATGCAGTGCACGTGTAACTATATTATCGAGGTCGATGTTTCATCAAGAAAAAGAATTTGGGGAAAAAACTTCAGAATACAATTAGCCAGTAAATCAATCAACAACAAAAACCCATGCATTTCCTCTCATACAGGACTCTCAGTTCGCGACAAGGTGTTCCTAAAAGTTACACCCATGAAGGGTGTGACTCGTTTTGAAAAGAGAGCCTCTCAAAAATTAAACATAGCATTTAGGGTGTTAGACTGATAATTGCACAATTTTCAAAAATTGTATATTAGTTTTTTGACCATCAAGTGGATAATTTCTGAAGCCATACCATAGCTGCAATTAAAATAAAATTGCAAAACTAAGATGTGTTGTCTTAGCATATCTCTAGAAAAACAGTCACCTCAGTGAATCAATTAGACTGCTACTCAAAACACAAACAATTATGGCGACTATTGTTGCTTCAATCTCATTAGACCAGAAGTTGATTTCTTACAGCCTAACCCGTGGTTCAATCAACAAACAGAGCATTCATCCCATATTATGTAGACCCTCCTTAGAGATTTTAAGCCATGTGATTTGTTGTGAATAATAACATGATATGCTGGAAGTTTAGCCCACATGATATGTTATGCTATGATCAATAATCAAACACTTGGTATTATAAATGAAGGTGAAAATCAATGGACTAATAACTTAGAATTGAAAGAAAAGATTAACATACAAAATAAAATGGCTGCGAAGATGGTCTTTGTTTTCTTGACGATGTTATTGATATTGGTAATAGTGCAGTCTAAACTTGACAACGTCGAGAGCAAGCTCTCAACAGATGGATGGATACCCAACATGGTTTAAGCTGACAGATGGAAACCTTGTAGCCATTTTGACATGCTCATCATATATTCCGGCATTTACGGCATTTACCATATACGTGAAGGCCGGCATTTATGAGGAACAGGTCAAAATTGCAATGAAAATGCCTAATGTCTTCATCTATGGGAATGGCATTTCTAAGGAACAGGTCAAATTCCACTCATTTTGATTGTGCAGTTTTCAGAAATTATCAGCTATCAGGTAGCTTATCAGCTAATTTTATTAAACATCGTTTTGATTGTGCAACTCATCGTATAACTTTAACTCATGCAGCCCCAATGTACATGACATTTTTTTACCTTAAAATTAATTCCGAGCAAAGGATTATCAAACTTAACTTCAAACCAACTGCAGAAAACATCATCTTATAAGAAAAATATCGTCGTGAAGTACACATCTCAAGATTTCACCCTCACCGTGTGTAGATATCAGCCAACCTCTCATGACTTGTAAAAAAAAAAACACAACAAATAAATACTCGAGACGAACACATGCACTTTTCCTACTAATTAGTAAGTGATGTGCCGTTAACTACATTTTAAGTAAGTTTTCGGCCAACCGCTCTTCCGCAAAGCAGTGCATTATTCGGTATGTCGTACTCATTTGCGAAAGATGGTGTCGGGTTGTAAACCCTCAGATATAACTGCTGCCCGAGATATTGCCTTCCCCACATTGCTGACCTCAGATTCCACATGCCTTGATTGTCCAGAGACACTAATATGGCAGTCCATGATTTTGGATAGACCTGCAAGAAGAAGGAATATTGAGCCAATTAACTAAAATGAACTTCAACTTGAACTTTTTTGGTCTTTTTAGGCAAGTAGTTACCTGTGTGGTGTGTCTAGTCAAAGCATCATCAAGATTGTACGTCTGCCTGCTAGCTTGCGTCCACTGACCATTCCCAAATCTTTTCCATCGAACGACAAAAAAAAATTAAAAATAAAAAATAAGAAAAACTATGTTTAGAACTTTTATTTTCTTCAAAATAATTTCTTTTTTTAAAAAAAAAAAAAAAAAAAAAAGAAAATACCAAAAGCTTTGAGAAAACATACCCAACAACCCAGAAATCATAACCGTCGAGATGCCACGACTGAATCGTATCCTCATTGTTCTGGAACACAACCTCGATGAAGTCATGAAGTGAGGCTCCCAACACAGAAGTCCCAAGGCTGGGCCCACCGCCAGATGGTGTGCTCTGGATGGAGTTGACAATGAAAACTCCAGGAATGTTGTAGTGATCTGCAAGCTTCAAAGGGGTGTCGGGATTGATGTACGAAACGCCGTTGACTGCATATCTTTGCTTGCCGTTGATTAAAGGTGCTGTGTTGGCCAGAATTATTGTCCTCGTTGGCGTTATTTTCCCATAATGGAACGAACCTTGAGGGTTCGGCCTAGCTGCATTTGAGGTCAAGTTCCACCTGAAAATGCAAAAATAAATAAATAAATAAATAAAGAAGTAAAAAAAAAAAAAAAAAAAAAAAAAAAAAGGGTACAATTTTAAGTTATTAATTTATTATCAATCGTGTGCTGTCAAAAAAGATAGGAAGGAAGAAAAAAAATCAAGATTTCAGTGTAATACAGCTAGAGCTGTCGATTTTTGGCCAAGCCAAGTTTTTCATGGGCTCGATAATCATGTTGTTTATACCTGTAAGATCTAGCTTGATCAATGGACCAATCCACTTCTATAGTCGGGCCAGCTGGGATAGGCCCGTTAACCGGTGCCTGGGAGTTCGTGTAGTGCAGCACACCAGTGGCCGTAAGGACTGCTTGGGTGAATCTGGTGGAGGCAACTATGTAATAATCCTTCGGGGACTGATTCAAGGTGATTAGAACTGATACGGATTGGCCCACGTGAATATCAAGAGAATCGTAGATATTCTGAAGCACATGAGAGCCTTCAACCTCGACTAGCTTCATTTTATGACCTTGAATCCTGAAATTGATAGATGTTGACAAGCCGATGTTCGAGACTCTGAACATGTATGTCTTCCCTGGAAAAATGCAAAAAGCAAGATTTTTTTTATTTTTTTATTTTTTTTGTGAACACATAAAGCTCTCAGTCGAAAAAACAGGATTATATGTTTCGATTGAAGAATATTATTATGCTTTAGTAGTAATTAGGTTGCTTTGCAGATACTAAATGAAGCCATTTCATTCAACTAACTATCAGGGCCTTGTAAAAATGCAGTCTTTTTTAACATTTGCAGATTGGTGAACACACATAAAGCTATCAGTCGAAAAACAAGATTCTATGTTTCTATTGAAGAATATTATTATGCATTAGCAATAAGGTTGCTTGCAAATAAATACTAAATGAAGTCCATTTCATTCAACTAACTATCAGGGCCTTGTAAAAATGCGATCTTTTTCAACATTTGCAGATTGGTGAAAACTGATCATTCTTACCTTGATTGCCACTGAAAGAAGAATGACCCTGGCCATTTATAAGGATTCCATCAGGTGAAGGCAACGGCTTTCCTGAATCGAGTATTTGCTGCAATCCCTGTAATAAATAACATATACGAAAGTTTTCGATGAACAAACATTTCCACTTTCAGTGATCAAGCAGTTTACAAAACACAATTTTACACGGTAAAAAAAAAAACACTCGCCTTGTGGCCAGCCTTATACCAATCACCAACAAGCAAGCTATAATCTCCAGCTGGAGTAGCATATGGAACAGGAATTACTGATCGAGCGTAAACGTTAAGAGCTCCAAAACCTCCGGCAGCTCTGTGCATTAGAGTTGAGGGGAAATAACTGTAGCTCCCGATTTGATCTTTCGTTTGGAATTTGTACGTGTAGTTTGTATTTGGAGGGATCGGGCAATTAGTTCCCAAAACACCATCTTGCCACGAGTTCTTTCGCTGTTTGATCCCATTCCTAAATTCACACAACACAAACCAATCCACTTTAAAAGTTTTGTATCTTGCCTGATAACTCTTAAACATATTAGATAAGAAAAAAATGATCTTGAAACTAACACAACCTTCTCCAGATTAATTCATTTTGTGCAAAATTGTTGTTATATCAAATGGAAAAATACGTAAATACACCATAGATTATCCAAATCACAGAAAAAAAAAAATCCACTTACCTTTCAAAATTTCAGACACGGCTTAAAATGTTTGAAACACACACTCGTTAAAATTTTCTAGACTTAACTAATGCCAGAACTCTTGAACAAACACAGAGCCAAAAAGAACAGAAAAAAACCGGGAACTGGAAATAACAACCGGTTTCGACATCTGCTACATATAGTATAATCGTATAAAGGACTTTTGTTCGACAACTATAACTAATCAACTAATTTTCCATACAGCAAGAAAGACCAAAACATGGATTAAAAAATTAAAAAAAGTAGTCTTGGGACAACCAACCACAACAAAAGCAGATCTCACAATCAGGCAGCTGCAAAAAGTTTGAAATTTTTTATTTTTTTCTCACCATGTTAACAGGATTGGCTGGTCCAATTTGTTGATGAGGTTTAGGATTATGTTGTCATTTGTCACAGTATCAAGCCTGGGACCAGGAAATTGTCCATTTATCAGTATAACCTGCAAATCCACACATCAAACTCTCAGAACCTTCATTACACCTTTAATCACAAATACAAACAAACAATCAAAAACAAACAAACAAAAAAACACAAACACTGCTAACCTGTTGAGAAACCCCTAGAGGTGCAGCAGTTCCATAGGTCACAGTCCACGTGTAATACTTGTAAGCGTCCTCTGATCTCACACCAAGAACACTCCAAAATGCAAAAACAGCAACCAAATACAACGAAATTGCTCGACCCATTTCACTTAATGGTGCACGAAAACCCACAGACCCGACCCAAACCTGCAAAAACCCACTTCAAATGTATCAGAAATTTCAGCGGCATATCCTTGAACATGTAGCTTGTAGCTAACGACATTATAGGGAACATTTGTTTGTTACTAAAGTGAAACGACACGAACCCATCAGCAGATCTGAGTTGGGTTTTTAGCCAAAGAAACAAAATACAGATATAATGTAAGAATTAGTATCGTACCAGGTTTGAGAAAGAGAAAGAAACCAAACAACACTGGTCTTGAAGGGGCAAGCCGCAAGAATAAAAGAATTAGTGTTTTTTGTGTGTGTTTTCAAATCCTTGTGTTTATACTACCCAATGTGAATGTGGATTTGTTGGAGGATTTATGTGTGCATCAGTGTATATATAACTGGGTTCATTATAATACTGACAGACACAGTTTCAAATAAACAAAGGTCTAATAAAGAACAAGATTACGCAGAGGAAAAGGAAAGAGAAAAGTGTCAGGGGCCATTGCCAACTTTCATTATTCTATAATTAACAGCTAAGTCAGTAAATTTTGGGATTTCATTATAACAAAAGTACTACTCGTAGACATCCGATAAGTGGGGACGGTCAAATACAATTTCTTATGTGATAAGATCTAACACTTAGGTAAGTCGTCAATTGGTAATAATTTATTAATAAATTATATATTTATATTACGAAATGTCATTTTTTATTTATTTATATTTTTAAGATATAATATTTCATTTATAATATATAAATATATGTATTATATATATGTGTCTGTGTGTGGGAGTGTGTGTGATCAAATGAAAATAGAAGATAGTTGAAAAAATAAAAGTAAATCGTAGCCGTTAGAGATAATATATCAACGCTTCAGATCCGGTCAAACACTCCAATTATGGTTAAAAGTGTTGTGACATTTAAGTAATTATGAGTATTTTTTATTATTCATGCAGTGACATTTTCGTTAATTCACGGAACACACTGGGATGCTATTATGTATTTTCATATGCATTAATATCCATGCCGTCTAATATTATGTACATCATGTTGCGTGATGACATTTTGGAAATTCAACTATTAAATTTGCCAGTGGTGACAATTTTGTAATTTTGTAAAAGTACGACGGTATATTTTAAGGTGCATATCCAAATGTAATATTGTCATTTTTTACTTATCATATTGTGCAGTTATCAAACTTTTGATAAATCATAAATTTACCCAAGAATCAAAATTGCAATGTATTAAAACTTCTGAAATTGCAAATAAGTCTCCAAGACTTACAAAATTTTCAAAAACAAACTCACCACCGAAATAACTCGAGGAGTATATCGGGATCTTGTAGGGCCGTTTCCGGAGTCGGTGATGTTGGTGTCGGCTGCAACGTCGCTCGTGCCAGCTAGGGATGGGAGGTCGTCAAGCGAGGCGAGGAAGAGGCAGAGGGAGGTGGGGACGGAGGTTGTAGGCGGTGAGCAGTGGGATGGGGCTTCGGACGACGGCGAGGAGGCGGGGTCGAGGGGAGACGGCTAGAAGGAATGAGAAATTGCGTCAACACAAAGAGTTAGGGTGGCGGCGCCTCTGGGGAGAGAAGATCGAATTCGACAGGGGTGATCGACTACGAGATGCACAATAATTTCTCGGTGGTGGCCGGTCCACAGGGGAGGATCCATATCCCCTAGGCCCCACCTGAAACTTTATATTTTATATTATATATTTTTAAGAAAATAAGTATAAATTAAGTAATTTTACAAAAATAATGTATAAATGAAGTTGTTTATTAAGTAGAATTTTTTTCCTCTTTTTCTCTTATTAAAATTTTTTTATTGCAATGTCTTATTTATTCGTTGTATCTTTAAATAAATGTATCATGACTTTGCATGCTAGTATAATAATTATAGTAAATTTACCAACTAAGAGATGAAATTATAATAAATTATTTGATCCAACATATTGAAAAATATTATCGCTCTCCTACCCACGGCGAGTACTAATGTTTTAAAATATTGACATACAGTGTATGACATGTGATTGATTAATCATGAGATCTTGACATATATACAACTTAATGTGTTTGCAGTTGGTAGGTGAATAATTTTGTATTGATCATAACACATTTTAAGTGGTGACGGACAAGGTGATGGAGCTCTTAGCGGAGGGGTTGAGTTTGGCCTTTAGAAAATTCGAAGAGCTCGCGTTCAAGAGTTAACTCTTGGCGAGATTATGTGGCGATGGCAGGAGAAAGAATGTACTGGACCGGCCAGGAGAGGCAACGAGATATGAGCGGCAGTGACAACGAAAGACGGAGCAGAGGAGCGAGGTGCATATGCCGTTGTGTTGTGCTTGAACGAGAAATGTGTGTGCGCATGCATGTTTGTGTGTGTGTGTGTGTGATAGAGAACGAGATGAGTGTGTGACCCATCTACCGTGAAATGTCCAATATATCTTTTATTAGTGTATAATTTTAACTCTTTTTGTGGTCTTTAAATTATCAGATCTTATTAGTATGATACATTCTTATTTTTTTCACTAACAACCATTTTAACTGAAATATGACTATGATGCATTCTTCTTTTATGCGTAGGAATGGTTTCAAAGTCAATAGTATTGGACATTTTCTCTCTAATATTTTATCCAACCGTAACATTTGGAAATGGCATGATAATATGATATAAAACTGATAATTAATTCAAAATTTGTTTTTCGTTATAGCCGAATTAAAAAGAGGAACGTGGTAGTTGGCTTCTGGTTAGTGACAATTGAATGCTGCTGTTATCTTTTTCCCGATTACATTTATGCTTTCTGGTTTATCTTTGCTATTCGTCTCGAGATTTGCGGTGTAAATTATTAATTTTTTTACTTCATTTTTGATATCATCTTATTTTATTTTCGGATTACATAAACTCATTTTTAGCAACCTTCCTTAGTTCCTTTCATAAATTATGTTCTTTATTATTTTTTGCCGGCATAAAATTTTCTGAACCGTGGTACTGTTTTTAGAAATTTGATGAATTTATAAATAATGCTACTCTTTCATTATGTTTTAAATGTCATTTTAGATTATATTTTTAGTTTCTAATTAGCTATTTATTTAAAATTATCCTTCCATTACATTCATATAATAATTTATAAAAAAATCACAAATTATTCTCTAAACATGATTTATAATCATTTATTCAATATTATATTTAACAAACACATGATTTAACACCAAAAATTTTGAAATACATGGAGTATCACATGGCTAAAAATATCAAAGCTAATTAAGTGGTTTTAATATTAAATAAAATATATTTTTAATTCAAAGTATTATACTTTAAACTATGTTCGTTGTTCTATATTTTATTCTAAAAATATACTAGTATGGCACTCGTGTACTACACGGGTTGTTTGAAAAAAATATATAAAACATAAAATAATAGAAAAAACACATGTTGTATAACTATTTCAACTCTTTAAAATATATTAGAAAGATCATGTGATATTCTATAACTATTTCAATGTATTTGTATAGATATTCTAAAAAAAATTAAATAATTTATTTACCATGGTGTTCATCAAAATTTATTTTAAAATTTATTTTATTTATATTAGAAAGATCATGTAATATTCTATCACTATTTCAATGTATTTTTATAGATATTCTAAAAAGATTTAAATAATTTATCTGGATTGAAAAGATATAATATATAAGTGACTATATATTTTTTGTAAAATTATAGTATTTTTTTAATTTAAACTATATAAAAAAATTATTTTTTACATTAATTATATAAATAAAATAATATATAAAGCTAAATTTTTTATTTTGATTTACACCATATAAAATAATATATAAAGCTAAATAAAAGGTATTTTTTTTAGATGTAATGTTGTCAAGTAAGCTTTATTTGATGATTTACACGGCATATAAAAATCCTATTTATTTGGGAGTTGGAGGAATCGGATTAAGCAAAATTTTTATTTATAAAGTATTTTATTTTAAACAATTAGGGAATGTATCCGAACCAAAAGCCGAAGCATGTAATGTTGCCAAATAAGCTTCCGAAGCGTGCGAGACAACCATTTAGACTCAGCACGTTTTCAAATTATATTAAGAGGGGATATTTTTTTCATTATGAAATTCTTCATTTTTTAATTACAAGCCTGTATCATTATGTCGACGTGAAAGGCTTTGCATGCAAATTATTAAAATGATACAAGCAATTTGGTGAATGGTACAATTATCAATATTACAAAAATTGAATAATATCCGAAATTAAAATCTGGAAATCAAATCCTAGTAAAAGCTCCTAAAGCTTTATTTTGTAAATCAAACATCTTATATTTTAAGTTGGTTAAGTGCGTGTACATTTTGAGTTTTTAATGATGTTTGTTTGAGTAAAAAAAGTAAATCAAACACCTTTATATTTTTGTCTAGGATGGTTTTGATTGTATAGAAAAGGGAGCCACGTCCCATAACTTCAAAGTCACATTATTGTTTGAATTGTGTTCCTTGTGACTTTTCTAGAAATTGGATGCCTGCTGTATTTTGGTTTCAGTGAGTGCCCACATGCCGTTGCCATGTTAAATTAATACCCAATAGTTCTCTCCTTTTGCTTTTCATCTTTTATTTTTCTCCTCTAAATACTTCTTTGAGTCTTTGAGAAAAAGAAAAGAGGAAAAGGAGGCGGGTCATGACTTCAAGAAGAGTATGATTATACCATTATTCTATGAGCAATTACTTGCTACTACTAGTTTGCTTTAAAGTGAAAGTTGTAATAGAAAACATAACATTTTTAGCATATACGAGGATTACTTGCTACTACTACTAGTCTTGTTATCTTGTTGAGGTTTTTCTCAAATATCGAAATACTTGTTTTTAGTTTCATATTCCTACAAAAAATCTCAGATTTACGATTTTTGACAAACCCTCATATTAGTCTACCTTCACCGAGAATATAGATTAATTAGTCCACCCTCGACAAGAACGGGACGGTTCGTCGGTCCTCGAGTAATCACGACCCTCTTGAGGCCGGGGGCCTAAGGAAGGATTAGACGAAAACGACTCCATGAAATATGACCATATGGTCCATATTCACTCCTTAGGCCCAGAAAACCCCAGCCCAGCTATCAACCTTGTAATAGTTAGACAATCACTGACATACCTTGGTCATGATCGCTCGACTAGTCTACTATCACATTGGGTTGATATTACGCGCCCAGGGTCGAGATAAACCATCAAGGTCAGTCGAGACCACAAGACGCCCCTCATTATCAACGGGGATCATGTCGATCGGCACAACTGCACCTGATCTATGCAGTGACGCTCCTTGGGATATTTCAACGCAATATCATCCCATTGAAAGAGCGTCATACATAAATTTTCTGTCGATCTTCGTCCGCCGTCGTCGATCTCATGGGAAGGAGCTATTTGTGCAAAAATGCCCCACATGACATATTTGGCACAATATCTTCCCATGAAAAAACGACAAGCCGATCAATCTTCATTTCTACAAACAGACGACTAAGCCGATCAACAACAACGACATCATAACAACAAAGAAGGTTTTTCCATCATGCATATCTAGATTAACAAACTTTTTATATTGCGATCGTTGCCCTGTAATATTTTGATGAGATTGCTATCTTCCTGATCGTCGCATAAGAAAGCCATGAAATTGCAAGAGACAAACATGACAACACTAGTGTCCAAGTAATATCCAACTTTGCTCGATGATCTCGACACGGAGCAGGTGTACCTTGTTATTGTGTGTACTTAAAAAAAAAAAAAAGCTTGACTTTTTTTCATAATAAACACTACTTTCATGTTGAATGAAAATCATGTTTAATTAAACTGTCTTACGTTATGATATTTTACATTTGGATGTTGTTCATCATGAATGGACAAAAGATCACATATTGTTACTTGTAAAACATAAATAATTTCACAACCTAGATGGAAATGAACGACCCATCGTGAACAGGTTGTAGTGTTAATTGTACAGTCTATCTTGACTGATTGGTTTCACTAGTACACTGTGTGTATTGAACAAAACACAGAGAGGATAAATTTATTTTATACTGATCAAGTAAACGAAACTAGACCTCGGTTAATTACTTCATTGATTGGATCTTCTCTAATATTGAATTTAACTAACATTAATTTGAAGGTCCAATGACTTATTTAAAAAATAAATTGTACAAATTTGATTAATTCAAGAAGATCACTTCATGAATTACTTGCTTGTTTGATCTTTCTAGAAGTTCAAATTAGACTTGAATAACATTGAGTCGATATTTGAAAATTTATTCTCAAATAAAAATCTTTGATATCTTATGAACATGAATGATTGGTGTTCGCCACAAAGTCGATCTCGAATTTATATCACTTTGGACTTGACTTTATTGACACAAATTATAGGTTTATAAATCTTGATTCCAAATTAAAATTCAGTTTTCACTTAGCATGCACTTTAATCTTTAAATAATTACTTGAATCTTCAAGATCGTTTTTAGATTTGTCGACATCCGAGTTGTAGAATAAAGGGGCTCGAAGTTTAATCATATATAAGAATTCAATAAAGGAAATTAAGGTGCGGAAATCAGAACCCTAGGTCGGTCCTGCCCAGCGCCTAGGGGTCGAGAATCATGAGCTGGAGCCCTGACCTTCACGCATTTAGAGTCGGAGAAAACCCCTAAGTATGATACGAAACCTCTGGTCGGACTCCTACCCAAAATCCAAGTCGACTTCTCAGAGATAAAGGTCGGTATGAAGACGAAGATATATGAGCCATAACCGATAGTCCGACCCTAAGGCGTCACCGAGGTCGGATCCAGAGGGAGCACTAAGGAAGAATAAGTCCACTTGTGATTTGATAATGACCGATGGGACGCGGCCACATGTCCAGCAGACCTATGACCAGTAGGCCCCTAGTGTAGCATGTCCGCATTAAATATATGTCATTCAACATTAAAATGATGTAATCCGATGAATAATAACCAAACATATCTTACTATGACGAGTCCTATGAATCCATTTTAGAAGGGGACTGATCAAAAAATTTCATTTGTAACAGACAAAAATTCCCTTATTAAATACCATATTTAAGACGAGGTACCAACCTCGAAAAGTTCAACCTCATAAAAACTCATTTTAACGCAAATCCATCAAATTAATAACCTTATTTTTACAGTTCTAATCCTCTATAATCTAAACCAAATCTAGAATTTGGGTTAGTCAAAACCGTTTGATCAACAAGATCATAGTTGACTTTCAATCTTCTAAAAGTTATTGAATTTAGACTTGAATTATGAAATGCGTTTTTTTACTTTAACAATAATGATCCATATTTATATTTATAGGTGTATAGTAAAGAAAATCCTACCATACCTTTGGATGAAAGATTAAATTTTGATTAGTTCTTCATTATTATTTGATATGATCTATGTCCACACATTCAGATTTTTCTTAGTGGGCAACAAAATATTTATTTTATTTATTTAGATTATTTTTTTTATAGCCATACCTGACGAGTGAGGTTCCACACGGTTTTGCATAATCTTCCATCATTTTTTGTCACACTACTATTTTTCCATGTTTCCCTACATTACATGACAAAGTGATTTGCTTTCAATTAGATTTATTCTTCTTTCTTTCTATGATTATTATTTAACAGAAAGCACTTTAAAAGCTACAAGCAGGGGGCGTAAAGATGTATATTGCTTACCCTGTAAGTGACAAATAAGTCACATGACCGTGATATAAATGTCAGAAAATATTGGTGTGCCATGATATAAATTTCACAAATTTGGCGACATCTGTATTATATTTTTTGAATAAATATATAAATCGTATCATGAGAATATTAACGTTTATTTATATTAAATATCAAGGCCTAGTGCGGCTGTCACAATAGTTTTATGGGTAAGTTATTTTTTCCACACGCAAATATTTCCAATCTCACCGAAGTAATATTGTCTCAGACAAAAGGTAAAAAATTTGAAGCTTGAATTATCATTAGAGAAGAAAATGAAAAGAAGAAACTTATACAATACAAAAAGAAAAATGAAATGCCAATCAACTGCACATTTATTTGGTATATTTTGAGGGAATATGGAGGAAATTGAATTGCAAACTTTACAAATAAAAGGGCATTACTATTCATCGTCCCCTTTATTTGTGAAGTTTGCCGATGTCAATGGTATTTTTTTGGCATTTTTTTGAAATTCTTTTGACGGTTGACAGAAACTGGGGGAAAATTGGTGCTGACCCACTATCATGAAGGACACCATGAAAGAAGGGAAAAGCTCATATGAAGCCCAAATGAGGTTCCATCCCAAAACCAATTGGTGGAAGGAGGAGTAGTCCATTAGTCTTATAAGGTAGGTCTATTTTCCATATATGAACGATGTGGGACAACTCACAAGTGATATTCTAACACGCCCCCTCACTTGTGAGTCCTTCGAAAGCCCAAGCCCTACTACAAACAGGCTCCCATAAACGGATACGTGGGGGATAAACAATGGGTACGTCATCACACGGTCCAAGATAGAACCGACTCTGATACCATGACAGAAACTGGGGGAAATAGGTGCTGGCCCACTACCATGAGGGACACCATGAAAGAAGGGAAAAGCCCATATGAAGCTCAAATGGGGTTCCATCCCAAAACCAATTGGTGGAAGGAGGAGTAGTCCATTAGTCTTATAAGGTGGGTCTATTTTCCATATATGAACGATGTGAGACAACTCACAAGTGATATTCTAACAACGGTCAAAGGAGCCGTAGAAAATCGAGAGGAAAAGAGTAGAGAGAAAGTAGTGAAAGGTAAAAACGTAATTGAAAGGAGTGGTGAGTAGTAATAAGGGATGTGAATATCAATTCACCAAATAAAATTATTGGGACAAAACACTTCTAAGAATATTCAATCCGAGTTGTGTCCATTCACCACACCGAAGAACCGGGAAAAAAGACAAAACAAATTTCAAATCCAAAAGGATGGACTATGTTGTGGACCTGCGCTCCTTCTAAATGGGCCATGAAGTGAAGCCCGAGGTTGACTATTGAACATGCTTGCTTTTCTTACTGTAACTTATGTTTCAAAAAATAAACAAAAAGAAAAACAAAATGTCAACTTTAAGAAGAAAATCGAAGCCCAAAGACAGCAAATATGTAAATGCTTATTTTTTTTTACTCTATCCTTAATTTTCATTTTTTCAGTTATAAAATTTGGGGACATTTATAATATCTTTCCACAGCATTATCATAAGCTATTATTTTTTTGAAATTGTGTAGAAAGGCCACATGTCTTACAAGTGCCTCTCTACTCAAAGCACACGTGTACATAGATATGCTTCAAAATCAACTTCCAAAGTTCCATCTTCTATATTCTTCTAAGCTTCAAACAAAAGTTTAAAAAATTTCCCAATAATTTGCAGTAGTCCTCTGTTAAACACACACACACACGTAAACAATAGTGCTAATTTTAATACATCATGGCCGACAAATCGGAATCTCCACCTTCCCCGCCAAACACTCCGCTTCAGGGCCATACATCAGATCTATTAAGCGACGTCGTATTGTGGAGAAGAAAGCAGCTCAATTGCGCCATCCTTTTAGCTGCGACGGCTCTATGGACGGTGATGGAAGTCTACCAATACAGCCTCGTCACCGTCCTCTCGTGGCTGGCCATGGCCGCCGCCGTCTGCCTCTTCTTCTGGGGCTCCATCCACCGCCTCCTCAAGAAGTAAATANTTCTTTCTTTTTCCCCCCTTTTCTTTTTTGGCTGTAATTTAAATTTTGCAGGGAGGCCCCTGACCTGTCGGAACTGGAGATCAGCGAGGAGGCGGCTCGGGAGCACGCGGAGGCTTTCCGGCGGTGGGCCCAGGAAGTCGTCCGGCTGATATTCCACGTCAGCACCGAAAGGGAGTGGTTTGTTTTTGCTGGCGTGGTGGGATCTCTGTATCTGGTCTCGTTAGTGGCCAGCCAATTCGATTTTCTTACACTCGTTTACCTAGGTAGGTACTAAATTCGTACGATGTTATCATTAAAGGCATACAAAAAATTTGTGAGGGGATAATTGCATTTTTTATTATTTATATTTTTGTGCGCGATTTTTTTATTTTTGTTTTTGTTTTTGCAGGATTGATTGGGGGAATGACGGTGCCCGGGTTTTATATGAAGAATGAGGGAAAGATAGCGGAGTTTGGTGATAAAGTGAAGACGAGAGCTCGGAAGGTATACTCCATTGTCGAGCAGAGGTTTCAAGATTTGAAAAACAAGATTGTGAAGGGGCAGAAAGAGATCAAAGAGAAGAAGGAGGAGTAGCATTTTTTTTTTTTGGGGAATTTTCTTTAGTTTCCTTCAAAATGTTGTAATGTTGTTTTTGGAGTTTTGGTGTATATTATCAAATAAAGTGTCTGAATAAATGAATAATGGACATCCGTGGTGCAATTTTGTTTTTGGAGTTTGCTGTTTTTCCTCTCTTTGTTTTCCTCGATTTTGTTTCGTAAAAATCTTCAAAAACTCAGATTGAAAGTCAAGATATACGTATTAAACTGGATCCCTCACAAGAACTTGCAAAGAAAAACATGAAAACAGCCCAATCGAGAACTTCTTAACTTCGACCATAGAAGTCTCTCGAGTTGGATCACACACACAAACAAACACAAGTGCGTTGGATTGTTGATCCAATTAAACATCCACAGTGAATTCATATTAATCCAATAGTTAAAGATCGGTATTGGATCAATTCAATCAATTCAATAATTAAAGATCGGTGTTGATCAAAAGATTGATTCAATAGTTAAAGATCATCCAATAAATCAATTCAATAATTAAAGATCAATGTTGATCTAAAGATCGATTCAATAGTTAAAGATTGGTGTTGATCCTATAGTTAAAGACAGTTGATCCCCAACCTGCATATAATCAAGACCTTAACTGAATCGAAAAAAACACAGGTCATATAATCAAGACCCTAACTGAATCGAAAAAAACACAGGTCTATCTATGTCATCAGTGTTGATCCAATAGTTAAAGATCAACTAAAAATCCAACACAGTTAAAGATCGATTCAATAGTTAAATATCAGTGTTGATCCAAGAATTAAAGATCCGTGTTGAAAACTCCAATACATGGATGTGTATTGATTCAATAGTTAAAGATCAGTGTTTATTCAATAGTTAAAAGTCGATTAATAATCCAACACATAAATGTATATTGAACCAACATGCAAACCAAAAGTTAAAAATCCAGTGCGTTTTCATCCAAAGTTAAAGATCCAGAGGTTAAAAATCCAGTGAATGTAGTTGAAAATCTACAGAGGTTAAAATCTAATTGAAGTCAGTAGAATAAAATTTGCCCAATAGGATCAAACTTTAAGGACATGAAAAATAGCAAGAATGTGATGATAAAAAAAAAAGCCCAACACTCAGTCCACAAGAATCAACCCCTTCATCACAAGTACTACAAAATACCTAACATAAAAAGTCACCAATTTCCAAGACCAAAAGCAACCGACCACAACACACACACCATCAAGTCCTTAAAGCAAACACACACATACACATAAAAACCAATAACACCACAAACTCCCTAAAAAAAACCCTTACTACTCAATACGGACCTGAATGTAAGCAGCATCACACACAACTGGTATATCCGCATACATCCCAGCCAAACAGCACCTTATGCACTCCAAAACCGTGAAGAAGAACGCCATCGAAACCCCCGCCCAGAAATGCATCCCGAGCTTTCCCCTATACAACCCAGTCGGCATCCACCTGCTCACGAGCCCTAAGGTCTGCAGTCCAATCTCGAGCAGCATCGCATTCACCACATGGAACCTCAAGAAATGTGGCCACATTTTTTTCCTCACAATATAAAGGTAAGCCGCGAAGAAGTAGGCAAGCAAGAACCAGCTGGGCAGCCTCCCGAGTGAGCTCAAAAAAGGGTAGCATGCGTACTCCAATTCCTCCAAAAAGGGGGCAAGGTAATAGGCTGTTTGTCCGAACATCCACGTCTCATGCAAGGGTAATAGGTAGGGGACTGCAGCCAAGGTTCGCCAATACCAGCTCGGTGTTTTGGTCATGGGTGGGAACCGCCAACCCCGTTTGACGTCCGAGGATGCCCTTGGGGGGCGGGGGCGTTTTGGTAATTTTTGGAACAGCGGTGTGCAAATGCCTGTCGATAAGACGAAATTATTTTCCAAGAGGCCTCAGCCAACTAAGTATGCCAACCAAAATACTAAACTTTCATAAGTAGAAACCATCAATATCCCCTCTACATTAAACATGGCAAAAATTGAGAAATTTTCTTATATAAAGGTTTATTCTTTTTTCACACAACAAAATCATTTTTGACATAAAACTAAGATTTCTGTTGGGCTTAACGTATACAGAACAGACGTACCCAAAGATGCAGACCCATTTTTGTGAAACGGTCCCAAGAAGTTTCTATCAATCGAAGACACAATCTTCTTGTCCGAATGAGGGAATTTTGCAATTGTCGAGCTTTGAGACCTGAAGCCACATGGTCGTCTGTCATGAACGACCAAATTGGGAACCCTAGAATTCACAAAGCAGCCGTTAAGAATCATCTCCAGCTCCGTTTTCCACCTCCACCCTAACTGTACAACGAGTAGCCGTAAATTCTTTAGTTGAGACTTCACAAATTACACATAAAATCGAACAAGAAAACAAAAACATGGGAGAAAAGGTAAACACAAACATGGGCTACTTGCAATTTGTGTAAATGGCAAAATCACTCTCAAAATTCGAAGGAAAAACATACACACACGAACTTTTAGGTCAAAATCAACACAGCTTAACGATGGTAGAACGATAAGTGTTACCTTGTTCTGTGGGAGATAGAGTGAACGTCGTGGTTTGTAACTTGTGGGTTTTGGATTGAGCAGATGGGTGCGAGAAGGGTAAAGACTCTCTCGATTGATAGTTTTAATTTTGTAATAACATATATTATTTTCGTATTTATTGATTCGCACATATTTATTTAGGAGTGTATTTAATTATAATTTTTTTATTATTATTTTGTTTGTAGTTTTTAATTTGGTGTGGTTAAGTTTGAAAAAAAGTAGTATGGTTAGTTGTTAGTGGGATGTTGATTTAATATTAAAATAATATTTCAAATATAATAATTAAAATTGATATGATATAAAAGTAGGAGAAAAATATGTGAAGTAATAATTAGTTAAAAAAACATTTGATATTTATTTGTTTATCAAATAAAGAATATAAATGCTATAGATACTTTAAGATTCGATATGCACATTGTTTAGTAGTTAAAGAATTTCAATGTTTGCCCGTAAATTTTCATATTTAATTATACATATGAATATTTAGGACTCTACAAATTTAAAATCATATTTCAAAAGATTCAAAATTATTTATTTAAACCAGAAAGTCCGAGTATATATTAATTACATAATTGAGAGCAATTATTACTTAGGACAATTTTTGTAAAGAATAATTCAGTGAAATTTCCGATTAGCAAAATCGAACATCGCAAAATCGTATATAAATATTATATAAATAATATTTATGTTAAAATCAGATTTTTAAATAATGTCTTCATAAAAATTGAGATTTAAAAAAATTATATATATTATTCTTAGTTGATAATGAATATTGATTTAAAAAAAAAATTAAGAAAGACACTTGTGAACTCTCGATAAACATAAAATTAAATCTCTAAACAATATAATATGCCAGAATTCATTCCAAATAAAAATATCAGCCACAAATATATTTAAATTCCCAAAGTAGATTTACTTCCAAAAGACATGCCCAATAGAAAGGGAATTTCCAAAAAAAATTTATTTACATGCATGAACTGTACAACAAATGCAAAGTTTGAATTTTGAACTGATTTTCTATAAGCGGTAAGTCAAAGAATTTGACACAAGCTTTTTATCAACTTTCCACAAATGATTTATTTACCATCATCTTTTAATATACATAGATCTCCAATGTTGCTATAAAACCAACTGGTTGGTTCCCTTATGGAACCAACACCCAATTAGACAGCTCCATGTGGGGCTGTCCCACATGGAGCCCACGTGGGACAGCCCCACATGGAGCAAAATCATTGGGTGTTGGTTCCATAAGGGAACCAACCAGTTGGTTTTATAGCAACATTGCATAGATCTCGGTGTTTCTATACATGTTTTTCAATTTGTTTAGTAAATTTGAAGTAATTTCACACATTTCTTGAGAATAATACAGAACATTATATATGTTATATAACATTTTATGTGATTTTAATATTTTAAATCTATACATGTTTTTCAATTTGTTTAGTAAATTTGAAGTAATTTCACACATTTCTTGAGAATAATACAGAACATTATATATGTTATATAACATTTTATGTGATTTTAATATTTTAAATCGACATGCTATATGTTCTTCTACACCAATTAATTTCGATGTAGCGTTTTCAATAAATTACTATACATTAAATTGTATTACATGTTAATTTTTTACATCTTTAATTTTATAAATATTATTTAACCACACGCTGCCTCAACACAGTCGTGGACCGCTGAACGAGACGCGCACATTGGTTATTTGTGAAATCGCAATGGTTCCGAGTGATCTGTACAAGCAAAGGTCAGCGTCTCGGCTGGCAACCGAAGTCCTTAATTAGGCCAACTCCAAAAACTATGCTGTATCAGCATTTTTCGACATATAGCTATCAAATGTGTGTGATAAATTATAATATAAGATCTACAGAAGCCTTTATCATAAACCATAATACAAGAGTACATAACCAGTATAGGCCATCACAAGTTCATTATAAAGTCACAAATCGACAACAAACAGGCGACTACATAGTAAACATGCACAAGCACAATAAGAGTACCAAAGATCTTCAAGCCTAAAAACCGAGCTTTCAACCCTTCCACGTCATCATCCCTTTT